TATTGACTGCCCTTTCTGCCTGGCACACAGCTGTCTGCCTTGTATCTCCCCTCACCAGTATTATGGAAATCCTCTTTACCACTCCCTGTGTCAGCGCTGTTTCCTGGGTCCTATGTCCTCCTTGGTTTACTTCCTTATCTTAGTGGAGCATATCCTCCGATACTTCCTGCAAAAGAGTGTGTGAGGTGGTAAATTTTTTGAGACCAGTGTCTTTATTTTACCCTCACGCTTAATAGCTTGGCTGAGTACAGAACTGTACTTTGGAAATCATTTCTCTTCAGTATTTTGAAGGCAGTGCCTTACTGGTTCTGGATTCCAGTGTGGATGCAGTCAAGTCTGAGCCACTCATTCCTAATTCTTCATGTGTAATCAATCTTTTTCTCCAGAAGCTCACAGAATTTCTTTGTCCCCAGTGCTCTTACAGTGTGTCTTGGTGTATGCCTCATTTCAACCACTATGTTAGGCATTCAAACTAGGAATTCATGCTGTACAGATCTGGGTCAGTGAAAAAGTAGAGGGTCAGTAAAAACGAGGAATACCCTTGACGAGCTGGATTGACACAGTGGCTGCAACAATGGGCTCGTCGTGAGGATGGTGCAGGACCAGGCAGTGTTTCGTTCTGTTTTACATAGGGTCACTATGAGTCGGAACCAAATCGATGGCACCTAACAACAACACAGTTTTGGGACATTGTCTTAGTTCATTATTTTCTTGCCTTCGTTTTTTCTGTTCTCTCTTTCTGGTGCACCTGTTATTCAGACAGTGGACCTACTGGTTTGATCCTATAGTTTTCTGTTATAACTTGTCCTTTTGCTTTACTTTGGGCAGAGTCTTTATTTTCCAGTTCTGTTGTTTCATGACTGCTATCATGTTTTTAATTTTCAAGAGCTCTCTTTTCTCTAAATATTTTTTATTTAACAACCTATTTACTAGATACAGTATTTAACCTTTTTTCTATTTGTTTTAATTTTTGTCTTTCATGTTGGAAGTTTTCTCAAATGTCTGATAATTCTTAGTTGTCTGTTCCTATTCAAGAGGGAGGTACTTGGACTTCTGGTCTTCAAAGACTATCGGCAGCTACCTAAATTTGAATCTCTTTCAAATCTTCCAAAAACCATACACAAAGTACGTGAAATTGAAAGTGGCTGTTTGGGGAAGGTATAATTTCTGGGAGGGGGGAGATGTCTCTCAGCGGCTGGATGGTGAAGTGAAAGAAGGAAGTAAGGATCCTACAGGGAAAAATAAAATATATGAGACTCCAACCCCTGCCACCTCACGAAAGAAAAAGTCAACTCTGAGAAGTGCTGCGCTTCCCTGCACCAACAGAAGAGAGCATTCTTGAGTCAAGAAACTGAACTAGTAGCCACACAAGCCTCTCACCCCTGCCTACACAGAAGCAACTGTTTTTTGCAAGTCAAGGAAAACACTTCAAAATGAGCAGGAAAAGACAGGCAACATCCATAAAAGCTACTTTAAGAAGAAAACAAAAGGACAATTACAGCTGATGAAAATTCTCCCCTCAACCATAAGGCAGAAGAAAATTTAACATCTGAGCCTGAATTAAATATCCTTAAACAGGCCTTTGCAGATACAAAAATGAACACCTAAATTTAGAAACTCAAAATCTCTGAAAGAAATGGACCAAAATAAGAGTTTATGCAACTTAGCAAAGAAATTGAGAAAGACAAAATCTTCTCAAGATTAAACTACAAGGTGCTCAAGGAGGAAGAGATTCAACTGAAAACACAATGAAGGGCATTGAAAAAAGTAGGAAAGCAGCCAAGAGAAAACCAAATAGTTAAAAAGGGTTAGAGAGTAGAACGGACATACACACACACACACACGTGAATTGTGGTATAACTTACACAATACTGCAATGAGAATGAACAATCTACAAATGCACGCAGCAATATGTGTGACTTGGACATAAAGGGCAGAAGCTGGACTCCATCCTCCCCTTGTGGATCTTCTAGAGGTAGCTATTTGAGTATCTGGTGTTACAAATGCAACTAAATGGAAAGAGTGAGTCTATCTTTCTTTGAGTTACTGGAAATCATTTATATATGTGTGTACATATATATGTGTGTATGTATACACACGTTTATCTGTTGAATTATTTTCAGTGTACACAAATACATAAAACAATCCCATGAGCAATCTTTGAAAAATAAATACCCTCCCATATCTTCTATATAAATCCAGTTTTTCATTTAGTTTCCAAGGAATGCCTATAACCTGGAAATGACTTGGGTCAAAGGGTATTTTTCTAGCTTGAAAATACACTGAAACTTTTATTTTTCAGAGAAGAGTCAGTGTTTAATAGTGTTTTTTGTGAAGGCAAATAAGAATGGAATTTGAGAAATACCTAGCCATTTCACTCAACACCAAGAATCTAAAAGGTACCTGTTCACTGTATAAGATCACTGATGTAGGACAAAGGACATAATTCATCTCCTAGGAAGCTTTCAGACTAGATGAAGTAGAGCAAAAGCAAGAGTACTATAATTTAAAAATGCTGTAGTAGAAAAGTATAGGTCTTGCTTTGTCTGGAAGACTTCCTGTTGGGCATTATCGTGGCTTTGACAGATCTGGGTACTGGTTTCTTGCAGTAGAAAACCAAGTATCATTTTAGTGTTCATAGTGAAAGGTGAAATGAAAATTTCAGGGAGATTAAGGTGACCTGTATATCAATCCTTGTTTGTTTGAACAAGCGCACATTCTTGGCCTGCTCTGTCCCTCACAGGGCTTCCTTTCTATGAATCATAACTGGCAATTATTGTTCCAGTAGTTGGCAAGTCTCTCATCCATTTGACTTTCCTTTGCCTTCAATGTTTCAGAAAGATTTAACTAACCAGAGCACCACCTAGTGTTGAGTAGACATGCGTGTAAATCTTTTGGTAGGCTTAACACCAGTACTGAGGAAAGCAAATGGCAGCTTCTTTCTGTACAAGATACAACATGGTAAATTTTACTAATGATGTGGTTCCAGAGTCACTAAAGATCTAAAAATATTTTTATTTTAAAAGGTATATGAAGTATTTAATCATATAACTTCTTCAAGCATTCTAATGGAATGTAAGAAAAAAAATAAAAGCCAGAGGAAATCTCCACATTTCATCCTTTTATGCTAACTTCAACTCCCTAGTCAACTTCATTTCTAACAATTGTCATATTAGAGATTCACTTCATTTGGTGGATATGTATGCTGCTAAACAACAACGCATTGCTAAAAAGGCAACAACAGCCTCAGGGACAAAAACTGAGATGAAGAATAAAAGGAAATAAATTAATTTTTTTCTGAAATAGCCCGATGAAATAATGTATTGCCACAGGCAAAGGATCCCTGCTAGGTACTAGTTTTGTGGTAAGATACATCAGCTGTTTTACTTTGACACTCTATTTAAAAATCCTAATCAGCTTTGAAAGAATCTCAGAGCTTTGGGACAACAAGACAGTATAAGAAGTTTTTTTTTGGTTGTAGTATTTTCTCACCCACTTTAGAATTTCTAGTTAATATATACATTTATATTCTACAAAAACAAACAAAATTGTAAATTTAAAGTTAGTTTTGCTGGTAACCATACTTTAAAAAACACCGAGTTTTTACAAAAATGAAGTCTAGTTTCCTTCTCCCCCACTCCCTTCTCCCCAAAATGGGGAGAGGTTTTAAAAGTTGAACTGGAACTACCAGCTCTGCTATTAAGGTAGGAATTTGCTTTCAAGAAGAAAAGCCTAAACCAAAGCAAAACAAGTAAAAACAAAAAAAAAAAAAAAAAAAAAAAAAAAAAATTTTTTTTTAATATAAATAACTCAGATTGAGGAAGTAACAATTCTTAGCATTTAAGTTTTCTCAAAAGTTTACGTGGATGAAGTAACACGGAAAAAAATGTTGCCATCAAGTTTATTCCTACTCATAGTGACCCTACAGGACAGAGTAGAACTGCCCCACAGGGTTTCCAAGGAGCAGCTGGTGGAAGTAAAATCTTATTTAATCCCAAATTTAAAATTAATTTCCATTTTCTTGCCAGCTAACAGATATTTCCTGGAACCTGACACCATTCCTAACTTTACTGCCTAAATATTTCTCAAACCCTTCTTTCCATCCCTGCCACTGCCCTTCTTCCTCCAATCTATACTGCCCCAAGAGAATCCATCAGAACACATCTGAACATGTTCTTGACAGGCTTAAAAATTTTCCCAAGCCCCACTGCACCACCTCCACCTGAATGAACAGGTGCGTTAACATCAAGCACTACACGAACCTGATATAGACACAAGCCCTGCCCTCTCAAATCTACTACTTAGCGAGATCTGTCCTCTCTGCAGTCTTTCTCCTGCCATTTTATTCCTAACATTTTATACTATTCATTTGGAAAAGCTTATAGTTCCTCCAGTAGAATTTGCTTATGTATTTACTCATGCCTTTTCTGGTGCTACTCCTTGCAATGCCCTTTCCACCCTTCTTTACCAGGCTAATTACTCACCCTTGAAGACTCTGCTTAGATGTTGATCCTTCAAGAAACATCCCTTGAAGACTTGGGCTATGCTAATCATCCTCCCCGCCCTGTTGGCGCAGTGGTTAAGAGCTCTACTGCTAACCAAAAGGTTGATAGTTCGAACCCATCAGCAGCTCCTTGGGAAACCTACAGGGGCAGTTCTACTCTGTCTTATACTTTATAGGGTCACTATGAGTGGGAATCAACTCGACGGCAACTTTTTTTTTAAGTCCTCACAGCATCTAGTTCAATAAGGGTATCATAGCACTTACCAAACTATATTGAAATTAATCTGCTTTTGTCTCACTCCCCAATTACACTATGAAGCTCCTTTAGGACATGGGCTATCTTATTTACTTCAGAACCCCAGAACCTTGCATGGTTTTGGCCACTTACGTGCTCAAAAAATGTTTAAAAGCACATAATCTGTTACATTGAATTAGAGAAAACGATTCCTTCATGAAAGTATAACACATATATTCAACATAACACAAACTGTAAAAGCCATTTATAAATATAAATTTATTAAATACTATTTTTGACTTCATACTTAAGAAATATCAACACTTGTGAACACCCAACCAGACAGACTAAAATTAAAAGGACTGACAGTAAGAATGTGGAACAGCTGGAACTCTCATACATTGCTGGTAGGAGTGTCAACTGGCAGTATTTACTAAAGCTAAACATAAATAACACCCTGAGACCCACCAGTTCCACTCCTGGGTATATTCTCAACAGGAATGAGTACATATGGCCACCAAACAACATTACAAGAGTGGTCTTAGCAGCAATACTCATAATAGCCCCCAACTGGAAACAATTCTAAAATATTAGAATGAATTAATTCTGGTATATTCATACAAATACTACAGAGCAATGCAAAAAGAATAAACTTGCTAATAAACAAAGATACTACTTTATGAAGTTCAAAAACAGGCAAACTACCCTGCAGTGACAGCCTTTGGTGGTGGAGGGTATTGACTAGAAGAGGTACCTATGAGAAGCTTCTATGGTAATGGAAATGTTCTATAAAATTGTGACCTGATGAACACCTTATGTAAAAGTTAAACAAGCTGTATACTTAAGATTTGTGCACTTTACAGCACATACAATTTACTATACTGAAATAAAGATAAGAAAAAAGAAAAACTTGTGAACTAAGGTCTTGGAAATAAGCCAACATGCTGGAAGTACAGCCATGAAACAAAAGATAAACTGATAGAAAGTATTTTTTTCCCTTTGCTATAACATGGAAAAGAACATTTTTAAAAAGAAACATTTAAAAATGCAAAAACAGTATTCCTTTTATTATAATGTTCTCAAATTTGGTTTCAGATTCAAAATACTATTTTCAGATACTTTTCTACTGCTACATAAACTAGGCAACTTTGTTATTTTATCAGTTAGTTATTCTGAGTTTTAACCATAAAATTTGATAAATTTTGAGAAAATAGCTGAATTCAATATAAGATCTGGCCTACAAAATTACCTGTTAGTACAAATATTCCAAAATAAATTTACTTATTTTACTATAGTCCTTATCTACTTAACTTAAAATCTGCCACCTTTTCAGTAAAGGTGAAATAAAATTCTTTAAAACATAGGAAATATATTTCCTGTTAAGATTTTGTAAAATATATACTTGAGTACCCTAAAACAACTAGTATACTTTCTACTCTAGGCTGTGCTTTTGGTAAACATGTCTGATACTATGAAGATTAACACCAGTCTGGGAATGAATTTTAATAACACAAAAAAAATACTCAACCCAAATACCTGACAGGATTCCTCATATTAATATTTTGAGGAGAGTGTACAAATGAAAAGATTAATAGATTTAAGTACCCTTAAGTGCAAGAAATAATGAAAGTATCTAAAAATTATACATGTATACATGCAGAACAAACTCTGGGCTATAGTATACGTAAGGCAAGAGTAAATACAGGACCTTGAGACTTATTTTTAGTTACACTCATACACACACACATGTATGTATATATAAGTAAAACAGAACATTTTGTATTGGTTGCATGAACTAAATTCTAACCCACAAATCTCAGTATTAACCAGAACTTCCTGACTGGTTGACATAGCACACATTAGTGAGGTAATACAGGCAGCAGAGGTAGTACATGAGATCCGTGAGTTTTTCAGCTTTTGATTTTAGTGCTATCACCTTCAAGGCACCAGTCCAAGTGCTCATTAATTTGAGACTCCAAAACTTCCTTCTGACAAACAGGACAATTTACCATTTTGTTCTGACCAGAAGAACTGCTAGAATTCTGAGCTGAAGTTGTAGGATGTGAATTACACTTTGGATCATTACCACCACTTTGTGTTTGCTCTTTCTTAATAAAAAAACTGTCAAAAACAGTCTTGTCTTCTAGCCTGGGTCGTTTATTTGGGAATTTATCATCAGACCCACTCACATCCTGCGATGCAGTCAGAGACGTCGATTCCAGTGCTTTTAAAGAATTTCTTAGGAATGTCTTAGAAGATGTAACCCTTCTCTGAGAACCAGAAGAGACTGAGTTTTTAGGAATGTCACCAGCTGTTAAGCTTTTTGTTGGAGATCCATTCACACTTCTGAAAGCCTTCTGGTTGGCAACTGATACTCTAGGAAAGTAGTTGCTTAATACATTTTGGTGACTGTTATTAAGAACAGAGGAGACTAGAGAAGTTTTTTTACTTGAACCATTTTGTTCAAATTTCACCTCAATTTTAGAATTAGGTCTCAGAGCATTTGCTGAATGGTCTTGACTTGAGAGATTTTGCATTTTATTAACGGCATGTGTGGTGATAAATTTCCCAGATGAAAGTGAATTGCTTGTTCCTCCTAGAACATATCCTTTCCCAGTAAAAGGAATTAACAGCTGTGTCTCACCTCTGCTTGGTTTATCTGCAAAATAAGCAAACAAGACTTTCCCTTGACTCAAAATTAATACAGGAAAAAAAAACCCAAATACTTCTGAAAAGATCACAGTGAACTGTAGAAAAAAATTTTTCATGTTAAGAATGAAACATGATAATGTATAATGTAGAGATGAAATGTCACAGTTCATTCCAAAATATACACTTTACCATAAAAAAAAAAACTTTGTGGTAAAATAAGACATACATGTAGAAAACCAGCAAAACTAATGTATAACTTAAAGTTACTGTAGTGTGAATACCCCAAAAGCTTCAGTAGCTAAAATGATCAAAAATTAGGATAAAGGCAAGATTTTGTGTAACACCATCACTTGTAACCATCACTCAGGGGAAGAAACAGAACTTTGCTAGTCATTCCAGAAGCTCCTTCCATGTGTTTCATAATCACACTCATACATATAAATAAGTAAACAGTACCTTGTGGTGGTTGTTGTTTTATAATTATCAACTACAAAGCCACAACACTTTCTTGTGTTTATCATCCAACTTTGCACGCCTACATGCTATAGGTTAGTTTTGCCCATTAAAAAAAATTCATATAAAAAAAAAATACAGTAACAAATAATAAGCTAATGGATAGTTTCGTTTTGTTTTTCAAAATGAATAATACTTTATTCTAACTTAGATCCATATAATGATTACCTATTAATGGGAGAAGAACAATCTTCAGAAGTCAGAGCTCTTGTATAGAGAGAACATAGAGGATATTAAAAAATTCCCTCATATTTAGATAAGGAATCCTATCATGCCAAAGACCAACAGCAAAGTAACTTCTACTGCTTAGTGTTCTTTAAGTTTAGTTCCAGAAGGGAAAAATCTGCTACCATATTCTTATCTTTCCTTCTACTCACAAAATAAATTCTTTTCCCACATAAATTCTTCTACAGCTCCTTAACTTACTTATCATTTCAGATTTGTGAAACACAGCTATGTTCCTGGATCCTATCACATCAAAGCCACAACTTCCCAAGGGAAGAAGCATCAACGTCACTAACCTGCCTACCTCCGAAAAAGGCAGTAGCTCTGAACTTCATAGGAAAAGGGAGAAATCTTGAAGATGAAGTACTGGCAAAGACATGTCATATCCTTTTCCCAATGAAAATACATACATCAATAGCAGAAGTCACTTGGATAGAATCCAACTGATAGGAAGGGGTGTAGTTAAGACTTACATTCCGGGCATTGTTATTTAATTATTGTTTTTATTTTGGCAATCTTTTTGCCTTCTGTTTCCTCATAACTCAGTGAAAGTCAAGATCTGGAAAGAGACTTTACCTCAAATATTATCTATGGAAACTATTTCTACTTTTATTCATTTTTATATACAGCAAAGTCTATTTTCCTACCATCATTTTGTAGACAATAGGGTTTTCTTCTTAAGTGCACTTGAAAACTTCTACACTAAAAATAATCCATAAGCTTATCTTAATACCAATGCTCTAAAGGACTGTCTTTACATTGTAGCTATGGCTATGGAAAAGTTGGAAGAATACACAACAAGGTACCTTTACTCTCTGCTGCTGATACTGGGTGCTCTCCAAGTTTTGTCCTTCCTTTGCCTTTTTTTGAGTAGTTCTCTGGTTCCTTGATTTTTATGTAAGTGCCTCCACAAGTTCTCTGGTGCTCGGCCCACCAATAGTCATGAGCAGAGGGGGCCCTGTTAGTAGCACGTTTTACATAGCCATAATACGGTTTTTTGTTCTGACAAGGGCCATTGCAGCGCCACCAATGTCGACGATACTCATCCACCTCATCATGAAAAGTATGGTACACCTGGGTTGAGACAGAATTTTTAGCATTCAGTAAGCAAGTTAACAACTTAGGAAGACTTCATATAATAGCCTTTTTTTATTTTTGAAACTATGTAGTTTCCAAGAACTTCCCGAAAAGTTGTATTTTGGGAAAGACAGCAACTATATTTAGCTTCTGTTCAAAGGTTCACTTTAACGGGAAACAGCAGCAGTTAATTCAGTATTTCCTAAACTGTAAAAAGGTAGAAAATGTGCAATATGAAGACAGAAATATTTAAAACAAAAATCCTCTATGAATGCTAAAAGCTTCAGAAGCTAAAATGATCAAAAATCAGGATAAAGGCAAGATTTTGTATAACATGATAATAAATAAGAATTGTTCCCACTGCTAAATTGAAGTTTTCCCTATAAGTAATAATACTAAAGGGTTCTGAGGAACTAAACTATTTCCTGTAAATGCTTGACCCTAACAGCACAAACGTCTTATCTTGAAGCCTTTGCTAAACTCCTAGACAGAGTGCTTTTCTGGTCCTCTGCATTCTCACAGCTCTTTGTTCATGTCTCTGTAGCAAGTCTTACGGGGTAACACTTTATCTCTTTATGGGTGTCTTTCTATTACCAGATTGAAAAGTTCTCCAGATTCCAATGTTTTCATCTTTTTATCCCTAGTAGCTAATATAGTACCTGGCACAGTGAAGATGCTCAATAAGTATTTGTTGATTAAGTGAATGAAAAGTTTCATGTGCTGAGTCAAAATTCTCTTCTCAATCTTTAAGCAGGATCCCTTTTTTCACCCTCTTAGAAGCCCTAGTGGTACAGTGGTTAAAGTGATTGAGTGCTAACCAAAAGTCAGTGGTTCGAAACCACCAGCAGCTCTGTGGGAGAAAGATGTGGCAGTCGGCTTCCATAGAGGTTTATAGCCTTGGAAACCCTACAGGGTTGCTATGAGTTGGAACTGACTTGACAGCAGTGGGTTTGGGGTGTTTTTTTTTTTTGGTACTTAGAAACTAAGCAGAAGACAGATAAAGGAACAGTTCTTCTGACCGCAAGGAGGGGTAGCCCTCCCACTGTGGTGGGACTAAGGACTGCAGAGCACCATTTAAAAATCGCTCCTCCTAAATAACCAGGCATACCTTTTTCTTCTGTCCTCAGTGGAACATTACTTTTTGTGTAAGATAAAGAACATCTTACATGAGATTTTTTTTTTTTTTTTAAACAAAGACATTTAACTGTCTCATAAATTTCCCTTGCAGAGAAGAATGCTAAGCTTTTCATAACTCTATAGACAGACAGTTCTATACTAACTACCCTCATAACCAAAAAAATTCTATCACTTGGCAAGCATGCAAATAATACACATTATGTTAGATGCAGAAGAGACTGAGTAACAAAGGTTTCAGGATAAAGAGGTATGTGAGATCCTATACGATTATGTTCAGATTCTTCACTTTAAAGTTCGCTGACAAAAAAGACAGGAATTGGAGCTGTTTTACTTCCAATTTCTGTAACACTTTAAGCCTGGGAATGGGACCTCTAACTATGCAGTCAGTAAAATAAAATTCCTCTGCAATATGAAACTAGATACCCTGTGGAGTTCATTACAACAGGATGTAACCTGTAAAAGCAAACGGTGTGCACTCTATAAAACCTCTCCTAAATAAAACACACAGACATCCAAGATAAAAGAATACATCTTCTTCCAATTGAACAACAGGAAGTTCATCAGCACTTTCAGTATAAATTCTAATGAAGAAACTACAAGCTTTTTATACCAGCAACTCCATAATTCTCTTGCTAATCCATTTTAAGTCTGATTGTTTTTAAAGCAAGCCATTTTCCTGACATTAAAGTAACTGCATCCAATAATTAAATGAGCTCTCTAGAAAGTTAAATTATAGGTGGGAAAAGAATACTACTTGGAGGGTGAGCATCTTTCATTTTCCATGACACTGGCCCTTCTTACCTTTTAAAGACAGCAAATACTCAGACTACAGAATTTAATCTGTGTAGGAATTAACATTTTATTCGGTTCAATTCAGTTATTTATTTGTTAGGCTGCTGTAAGGGCAAAATATTATTCATCTTGGCACAAAAAAGGATGGGTAAGGGCCAACCTTTCTTAAGAGGTATGAAAGTAGAACAAAATATTTTAAAAGGTTAACTATCTCCTGAGGAGATTCAAAGGGGGGAGAAGTCATACCCCATTGGAAAGATGAAGAACACTTTGACAGAAAACAGAGTAAACGACACATTTTAGGGAGGGAATATATGAGTAAACGCACGGAGGTGAAAAGTTCCATTAGAAAGACACAGAACACAAGCAGGAGAGCTGTGGGAGAAGGTAAGAAAAAAGGAATAATACGATTATTTTACAAAATGAATACAACAATGACAAAAACTAATATTTAATTAGTGCTCAAACTTTGCAATAATGCTTTGCCCATGTTTTCTCCTTTAGTCCTCACAAGGATCCAAAAGATAGGTACTGTTATCTGCATTTTACATGTAAGTAAAATGAGGCATAAAAGAGTTAAGTAAGTCAATAACGGGGAGAGCCAGGATTTGAAGCCAAGCAAAATGACTCCTCATGCTTTTTATAACCCCACACTATGCCACCTCCTACAACAGTGTGCTGAAATGCTTTGTTCTTAATTCCATGGTCAATGTAAATCAAAGAAGACTTCTGATGAAGGGACTGGCAAAAAAAAATGGTAGAATATAGGATGGGTTGAAGGATACTATAATAAGGAAGCAAAGAGATAATCGCAATAATCCAGAAAAGAGGTCTTGCAGGACTGAATTAACTATGCAGAAAATATTAACCTAGATGATGTCAGAGACCTCAGATATATTTATGGCTCTGCTACCATTCTACTACGTGGTCCTAAAAAACACCAAAAACCCACTGCTGTCGAGTCAATTCCAACTCATAGTGACCTACAGGACACCGCAGAACTGCCCCACAAGGGTTTCCAAGGAGCACTTGGTAGATGCGAACTGCCAACCTCTCGGTTAGCAGCCGAACTCTTAACCACTACGCCATCAGGGTTTCCACTATGTGGTCCCAGACAAGCCAAGCCAATCTGCTTCTCTAAGCCTCTAGTTCACTGCTGAAAATCCTCAAAGTTAGTATTTGTTTCTACACAGTTCTCTATTTTTAATTAAATCCCAGAAGTTATTGAACAGATAAATATCATAAATATTGTGGATTTACATACTGTTATGTTGGCTCCAGTCAGGCGATTGATGCGATGCATATGTTTACAGAACTCTGGACCATGCCCTTCCCGGTCTTTATCATTATTAGTGACAAATAAATAAGCATGTATCATTTCATGCAAGAGGGTCTGAAATAGAAAACAATTTGTTATGGCACGTTTGAAAATAAATGTAGTCAGGAGCGTTTTCTTACTCTACCTGGGGCTCTTAATGTTCTTCGGATCACAGGGTCCTTTCAGAAACTGGTAAAAGTCACGAACCATCTTTCTAGAAAAATTATATATGCACACATGCATAAAACTTTGCATAGAATATCCCAAACTCTGTAGATCCCAGGTTAAGAACTCTCTGTTCCAGAAAGGCCTTTTAAACTATGAATCAAAATCCCGAAGACTGGTGAATTAAACTACGTAAACACTTAAAACATTCCGTATGGGGAAAAAAACAGACTTCATAAGTAAAATTAAAAAAACAAGCTCAGAAAAGTACATGTGCAACTCATAGCACAGACTATTAATCTCCTAATATATAAAGAGCTCCTAAAGTCAACAGAAAAATTACCAACCACCCAACTTTTAAATGGGCAAAGGTCATCAACAGTTCATAAAAATATAAATGACCCATAAAACATGAAAACATGCTCAACCTCATTTATAGAGAAATGCATATTAATACTATACTAGGATGCCATTTTTTGCTTATCAAGATTGTTCAAACTTCTAAATTTTAACAGTTAGTAAAGCTATGGAAAATAAACATTCCACACACCGCTGGTGGGAGCGCAAAATGGTACAACCTCAATGGAAGAGAATTTGATAACATCTAACAAAATTACAAATGCATTTATCCTTTGACCCAGGGCACCCAGACTTGGTATGGCTGCATGAAAGGTCATATGTTTAAGGTGTGTTCATCCTGGTATTGTTCATAATCGCAAAATATTGGAAATAACCTGTGTTTAGCAACAGAGCACTGGTTGAATGATGTTCTATGATATACGCACAGAATGGAATTCTATGCACAAAAGAAGAATGAAAAGAGCTCTATGAAATGATCTGGAGAAAGCTACAGTGCACTGTTTTAACGAAAAAGACTAAAAAGTACAGGGGAGTGTACATAGTATTTTGTGTGGCAGGGAAAAGGAATAAGAGTAGATATAAATATTTACAAAAAAGAACAATGAAAGAATAACCAAGAAACTAATGACAACAGTTTCCTACAGTAGGTGGGAGTTCAGAATAGAGAGGGATAGGGGTAGGAAAAAGACTTCTCTGTGTATAACTTTCTATAGTTTTGGGTTTTGAATCAGGTAAATTTTAAAACAAACAAACAAAACTTACTCCTCGTTCCACACCAAGGATGCAGGAAGTTTACAAGCAAAATTAACAAAAACATATACAGCTGCTGTTTCATAATTTGTTTTTAAAAATATGAACACATTTTCTAGCAAAAAAAAAAAAAGATCTTTGAAGGTATACTTTTTTTTATAATCATCCACAATTTTTTAAAAATAATATTTTATTGTATGTTCAGTAAAGTTTATACAGCTGTTTAGGTTCCCATTCAATAATTTCTACAGAAATTTTTCAGTAACATTGGTTACATTCTTCACAATGTGTTAACATTCTCATTACTTCCATTCTGGTTGATCCACTTCCATTAATCTTGCTTCTCTACCCCTTACCTTCTCATCTTTGTTTTAAAGTAACTGTTGACCATTTAGTCTCATATAGGTGATTTTTTAAAAGAGCACAGTACTTACAAGTGGTATTTTTTATTTTTTGAGCCAATTTGTTATTTAGCTACAAGGTGACCTCAGGGGTTGGTTTTGGTTCAAGGTCTGAAGAGTTTCTGAGGGCAACAGTCTTGGGGAGTCCTCCAGTCTCAACCAGTCCAGTAGGTCTGGTTTTTTTTTTTTTTTTAGAAATTTGAGGTTCTGGTCTACATTTTTCTCCCATTCTATCAGGGTCCATCTATAGTTGCCCTGATTAGAATGTTCAGTAGTGGAGCTGGGCACCATCTAGTTCTTTTGGCCTCAGGGTAGATAAGGCCATAGTTTGTCCCGTAGACTAGTTTCTTCCTTGAGTCTTTGGTTTCCTTCTTTCTCTTCTGTTCCAGACAAGCAGAGAACAACAGCTGTATGTTAGATGGCCACTTGTAAGCTTTTAAGTCCCCAGACACTACTCACCAAACTAGGATGTAGAACATAAATTTATGAACTACATTATGCCAAATGACCGTGATGTCCCAGGAGACTGTGGTCCTAATCCTTTAAATCTAGTAATCCGATCCTGTGAGGTGTTTGGTTATGTCTAAGTATTCGTAACTGTGCCCCCTATGGGCTTTATTACATAAATGAATATATGTGCATATAGTCACATAGATGCATATATACATACACACATACATACATGTACACATAAATGCCAACATACATACTTGTATATGTTTTTGCTATTGCTTCAAAATTATACATACCATAGCAATTACCAACAGGTCCTTTTTTCTTGTGTATATTTTAATGACATTGTTTACCTTCATCAAGCTGTGTATACTTCACCCTCATTCAGTGTTTCCACAACTAAAGTAATTTCCGTCAGAAGTACTAGGCTCACATTAACGAATTTTAGTTTTAGAAAAGTACATTGAACAGAAAAATGGAAGAATCAAACATTTTTTAACTTGGTCATTATGAAAATATAGCTTTTAAAATGATCAACTATCTCTCTCAAAATGAACTTTATTTTTCAAGCAAATGCCATTCTGTTAAGACTCACATTCAAATGCCAGTCTACATTTTCAAAGTTTTCTCAACTTCCCAAAATAATAATAAATAACTACTCTGATAAAGGAGAAAGAAATTTAGGATCCCTTATTTTTGCTTCAATTTAACACATCTTGAAAATGGTACATGGCACCATACTGAACGTCTGTTTTTATGTATGTACCATCTTCCACATTTAAGCTAGATGCAAGACTCTATATAACACGGTGCCAACACACCGCTGTTTCCCACTACTATTCTATATCTGGCCCAAAGCAACTACTCGGCCCATAAAACAAAATGAGACTAAATGGGCACACCAACCCAGGGGCAAGGATCAGAAAGCAGGAGGGGATAGGAAAGCTGGTAATGGGGAACCCAAGGTCGAGAAAGGGAAAGTGTTGACATGTCATAAGGTTGGCAACCAATGTCACAAAATGATACATGCATTAATTGTTTAATGAGAAACTAATTTGTTCTGTAAACCTTCATCTAAAGCACAATTAAAAAAAAAAAAAAAAGCAACTTCTCCTGGTCCTAAATGTGCCACAAGTTCTAGACATGAAGTATGCCCTCAAGCTGGTTTTTGCTGCCTACTCAGCTAGATGCCCTGGGAGGGCAGCAATGTGGAAGTAGGATAGAAGAAAATCAAAACGTGCATAGGAAGACTTGGACCCTAAGTTCTTCTCTGCTTCTAGTTATATATCTTAAACCAGTTACTTACCATCTATGAACTATAACTTCCTTGTTTACAAAAATGAGGCTCACACCACACACTAAACATCAACAGGATTGTGGCAAAAATCAAATGCGATAATATACCTGAAAGCCTTTCAGAACTATAAAGCACTATAAAAATAAAAGGTAATCATCATCAATTGTCCCACAGTTAAAATCTGTACAATGGAAAAGTGATTTTTTAAAAATATACAAGTTAATTCACAGAAGTCTAAATCAATGGTAAGCATTTTATTGAGCTAAGAATCAGGTCTGTGCAAAGAATACCTCTACAAGATCCTTTCTTGGTCTCAACTTTAAAAGAGGTTCACTGAGTCGGATGGAACACATTCCACCCCTCCCTTCGTAGCTGCATATCCCAGCACATCTGCAAAACAACCACCACAAAAACGTGTTACATTTACCAGATATACATCAAGAGGGAAACACAGATGAATCAGCAAATCCTCATACATTCTTGGGCAGTTCACACCAAGAGGACTCTACTGACAGACGACTTTCTTGAAAGTATACCCTCTTAGTTATGAGATATTTGCGTTTCACCCCGGTTAGGGAGATAGGTGAGCAGCAGTGGCTTCCCTTACCCTATTGAGGCTACAACAGCTCAAAGATAACCCCGTTGCTACTCCTAGTCTCCTCCCTACAAGCTATAATCAGTTTGTGGCTGTAACAGGCAGATACATATTCCAGCAGCACATCTCCAAAATTACAACAGAAGCTTATACGAAGGAGATTTACACTTTAAAAACACTTCAATATATCTTGTCTCATGGTAGGTTGTTTTACAATTCAAAAATAAGCATGATGGTATACAACTGCATCCTAAACTTGATAACTACTCTCATGTTAGAGTAGACTATTATTTCAAACCGGCATTTCTCAAACTTAAAAGCGTAGAAAAAGGAACCCCTTAATAAGTATCATTAAAGATCCCTTGGGTCCAGAAATATGGAAACGTCCTCCTTCCACATTCCAGCACACTAAGTGGTGGCATCTTAATGCATCCTTTGGCGGTTTTTTCCTCAGCATTTTTCTCAGGGGCAGACGCTGGTGTTCCTCCTTCCTGGGTCCCAAAGCACTAAACCGAAAAATTACCAAAACCGCTGCCGTCGAGTGGATTCTAACTCACAGAGACCCTACAGAACAGGATAGACCTGCCCCATTGGGTTTCCAAGGCTGTAATCTTTACGGGAGCAGACTGCCACATCTTTCTCCCTCGGAGCACCTGGTAAGTTCGAACCGCAGATCTTTCGGTTAGTCGTCGAGTGCTTTAACCACTTCACCACCAGGACTCCTTTACATAAGGTTAGTGAAGCTTTAGCTATCTATTCCCTAAAGACCTAATCTGTGGCAATAAACAAAAAGGCACTACCATAGAACAAATCACAACTTTGCGCATTTCTTTTCAAGTGAGGTGAGAGTCAAGGGCCTGTTCTCTCATTGTGTCCCTATCCCTCATGCGTGTGGGCCACGCAGCTTTCCTAAAGCTGTCAGCTGCGGGTGAGGAGGCACACCGGGCTGGGACTCACAGGGTCATGCGCACGCTCCACTTCACCTCCACGGCCTCCAGCTGGCCCCAAAAGAACCGGTCGTTGAACTGCACGAACAGGGCCTGAAGGTCCGGGGTGGGGTCCACCAACTCCCAGGACGCGTCCACCAGCGACAGGGGTTCCTGGGCATGGTCGCGTCGCAGGGCCTGTAAGTCCCACTCTTCCTGTAGCTGCAGGGCCAAAACCAGGTCGTCGTCCATGGCGCCGGGTTCTGAGACACCTCCCCCCACCCCCCACCAGCTGCTCCCCAGCGGCTCCTCGGAGATACTGGCTCCCGGCCGCTATCGCGAGACCGCGGAAAACGGGCGTCAAAATAAGCACGAGAGCTGAGCCTGTCCTAAATGCCGAAGCCAAGATTCGGGCGCTAACGAGAAATCAGCACCTCCTAGTTGGCGCTGAACTGAGTTCCCCGTGTTTGGCCCAGAAGTCTCCGGCAGTTGATACCTCCCATACATTCCGCCCGCAACTTGAAACACCTGACATCACACTCCCTCCATGCGCAAAGCCTGCACGTCTGCCTCCGCCCTCACTCACTTCCGCGAAATCGCTTGGGGCGCATGGGCCCTAATCAGCTAACGCTTCCGCGCAGGCGTACTGTCTTGCGCGGCACCGTGCGCAAGCGCAGTGTCCGACTCTCGGGCCTGAGAGCAGGCGCACTCAGCTCGCTTCGTCCTGCTTCCTCAGCCTGGACCTCAGTAGAGGTGGGGTGGGTGTCGACCGCGGCAGCGATAGTGACAGTGACTGCCCGCGAGCCGGACGGAAATGGCGATGGCGATGTCGGACAGCGGGGCGAGCCGTCTGAGGCGGCAGCTGGAGTCGGGCGGCTTCGAGGCGCGGCTGTACGTGAAGCAGCTCTCTCAGCAGTCGGACGGGGACCGGGACCTCCAGGAGCACCGGCAGCGCATCCAGGCGCTGGCGGAGGAGACGGCGCAGAACCTGAAGCGCAACGTGTACCAGAACTACCGGCAGTTCATAGAGACGGCCCGCGAGATCTCCTACTTGGAGAGCGAGATGTATCAGCTTAGCCATCTGCTCACCGAACAGAAGAGCAGCCTGGAAAGCATCCCGCTCACGCTGCTTCCTGCCGCCGCCGCCGGAGCCGCCGCGGCCTCTGGTGGGGAGGAGCGAGGTGGGGCGGGGGGCCGAGACCACCTCCGAGGTCAGGCCAGCTTTTTCCCCACCCCCGGGGGCGCCTCCCGCGACTGTTCAGGTCCGGGCGAGGAAGGAAAGCAACGCACCCTCACCACCCTGCTTGAGAAGGTGGAAGGCTGCAGGCACCTGCTAGAGACACCGGGACAGTACCTGGTGTACAACGGGGACCTGGTGGAGTACGAGGCGGACCACATGGCCCAGCTGCAGCGGGTGCATGGCTTTCTCATGAACGATTGTTTGCTGGTGGCCACCTGGCTGCCACAGCGGCGGGGGATGTATCGCTACAACGCTCTCTATCCCCTAGATGGCTTGGCCGTGGTCAATGTCAAGGACAACCCACCCATGAAGGACATGTTCAAGCTACTCATGTTCCCCGAGAGCCGCATTTTTCAGGCGGAAAATGCCAAAATCAAACGGGAGTGGCTTGAAGTGCTGGAAGAAACTAAGAGGGCCCTCAGTGAGAAAAGACGAAGGGAACAGGAGGAGGCAGCAGCCCCCCGAGGGCCATCCCAAGTGACTGCCAAGGCCGGTAACCCATTCGAGGATGAAGAAGAAGAAGAACCAGCTGTTCCTGAGGTAGAAGAAGAGAAGGTGGACCTCTCAATGGAATGGATCCAGGAGTTACCTGAAGACCTGGATGTCTGTATTGCCCAGAGGGACTTTGAAGGGGCCGTGGACCTGCTAGATAAGTTGAATCATTACCTGGAAAATAAGCCCAGTCCACCTCCTGTGAAAGAATTGAGGGCCAAAGTGGATGAGCGTGTCCGCCAGCTCACTGAGGTATTAGTTTTCGAACTCTCCCCGGGTCGTTCCCTGAGGGGTGGTCCCAAGGCTACTCGCAGAGCTGTTTCTCAACTAATCCGGCTGGGCCAGTGCACTAAGGCTTGTGAGCTGTTTTTGAGAAACAGAGCAGCAGCTGTGCATACTGCAATACGACAGCTTCGCATTGAGGGTGCCACTTTACTCTATATTCATAAGCTGTGCCATGTCTTCTTTACCAGCCTTCTGGAGACTGCAAGGGAATTTGAAACAGATTTTGCAGGCACTGACAGTGGATGCTACTCTGCCTTTGTGGTCTGGGCGCGGTCAGCCATGGGCATGTTTGTGGACGCTTTTAGCAAGCAGGTGTTTGATAGTAAAGAGAGCCTTTCTACAGCAGCAGAGTGTGTAAAGGTGGCCAAGGAGCATTGTCAGCAGCTGGGAGATATTGGACTAGACCTCACCTTCATCATCCATGCCCTTCTGGTGAAAGACATCCAGGGGGCCTTGCACAGTTACAAAGAAATCATAATTGAAGCCACTAAGCACCGGAACTCTGAGGAGATGTGGAGGAGGATGAACTTGATGACTCCGGAGGCCCTGGGTAAACTCAAAGAAGAGATGAAGAGTTGCGGGGTGAGTAATTTTGAGCAGTACACAGGGGATGACTGCTGGGTGAATCTCAGCTACACTGTGGTTGCCTTCACCAAACAGACCATGGGCTTCTTGGAAGAGGCCTTGAAGCTGTATTTCCCAGAGCTGCACATGGTACTTTTGGAGAGCCTGTTAGAGATCATTTTGGTTGCTGTTCAGCATGTGGATTATAGTCTTAGGTGTGAGCAGGATCCAGAGAAAAAGGCCTTCATTAGGCAGAATGCATCCTTTCTATATGAAACAGTCCTCCCTGTGGTGGAGAAAAGGTTTGAAGAAGGTGTGGGGAAACCTGCCAAGCAACTCCAAGACCTGAGGAACGCATCCAGACTTATTCGTGTGAATCCCGAAAGTACAACATCAGTGGTCTGATGCATGGATTGATTTATATGTAGATACACATATATTGCTTATATGTTATTTATATTAAGTTACATTAGTATGTTGTTTATAGTCTCAAACACAGCTTAAAATTAAATGATGCTCTCTGAGATAGAAATGCAAAATCAAAAGGAGAAAGAAAAAATATTAAGCCAAAATAACAAAAAGGATGGAATATTAAAACATACACTTTCCTTTCAAATTATGCTAATTTTCTAATGAATATGTGGTCACATTATAGTATTTCAGCTTCTCCTTTGAGTCAAAACACACATTCTTACAGTATGTATTATGCAGCACAGAGAAGTAATGTCTGTAAATCCATAGAGTTTAAGAATGTTATGAAAAATTTTCCCGTTCACTAAAACGTTAGATTTCTTGAAGTACATAAAAGGTGCGATGCCATATAAAATGCCCTGCCTCATATATTTCCCCACCTTAAAAGGTGATGGAACAATTTGGTGAAAAGAAAGGTGTTGGAAAATTGGTTTTAGGGTCTGTTATAGTCAAAAGTATTGTTTCGTCAAACTAGTGTGTGGACTCAGATACTTCAGTCTTTATAGAATACACGGGGAAGCTTTCATAAAAACTAGCAAACTTTTTGAACATAATTTGAAGGGTTAATTATTTTCAGCTGCTAATTAGCAGCTTTATAATCTCAAGGACTATGATAAAGTAATTTTTCAGTGTATTCCTGAATTGTGTAAATTTCCAGCTGGAGTTTTTTGTCTTTGTTATATTGAAAAATAATAAGACACACTGAGGAAGCTGGCAGCAGTTAGTGATTGTAGCCATCCCTGTTTCAGTATAGGTTATGTAGTGGCTCAGACTTCATGCAAATGTAAGGAAAATTTCATTGAAACGTTTGTTTAGGTTTCAGGGTTTGGGTGCATGGGAAATTAGAAAAAATCATATGCAAATGCCATAGTGTTCTCAAGTGTGACTACTTTGAGCAGAGATTTCTGTTTCTGTTCTGTTCTTGGTAATGTAGTGGCGAACAGAGAGGCGAGACGGTGTTCCCAAAGCAAAGGGAACACTGAGTCACAAAAGGTGAGATCCTTCTGTGACTCCTGCTAGAATGCTCCATGCTGTTTTCCTTGTTTTATCTTTTTATTTTCCTTGCTTTGTTTTTTAAAATAATGCTTACTTCAGATTGTTTAGTAAAACAAAAGTAACTAAAGAAATTTCCCAAGGTTTCTAAACTATTGCTTCTAAGCTATTGGTTATATAACATTTCTCATACTTTGAAATTATGCTTGCTGAGATCCATTTCTCCGATGTTCTTTTTGTCTCTAAGTGCCATTTTTGATGCTAATAATTTTGAAAGGTCATTTCTTTTATCTGAATAAAAACGGTGATATTAAGACTGTGGAAATTATGTAAAACCTGACACAGATCCAAACAGTGAGTTAGGGTTGTAAAACTTGAAATTACTCTTATTCCAGACGAGCTTTTTTATCTTATTTTTAGCTATGCATATTTAAAACGTTGAAAATTATCAAAGTTACAAATTTTCTTTGACTACTTTTCTCATATCACTTTAGGGTTTTCTAAATAATAAGACTAACTGGATATCTCAGTTGAACAAACACAGTTATAATTTGTTTTAAGATCACTGGGAACTTGAATTTGATAAAATTTTGTGATTATTAGATTTCGTGCCATTTAAGGTTTCTAAAATTATATTGTATGAAACATGTATTGTGTAAATATTTGATCCTGAGTTCATGAAATTATACTTCTAAATCAAACTTCTCTTAAGGCGGCACGAAGTTGTAAAAACTTAAATGTATATACTCAGATATTTAAATGGTTGCTTCTTCATAGAACTGTCTGCTTTTTAAAACTGGAAGTACAGAATTTTCTTCTGTTAAATGTGTGTTCCTTAATCAGAGTTGTTTCTGAAGGAAGTATGTTTTTTGGTGAATCAATTAGTATGGGAAGTTGATTAAAGACCACCAATGTCATAATATACCTTTTTGCCAAGACAGAACAAATACGTTGCATTCCTCTTCTCTCTGATTCTTTTGTTTCATTTGACTCCAAAACAAGTTCTAAAAATTGAATGCAAAATTATACTACATACTGAAATATACCACTTACGAATTGCTTGCCTTTCCTTGTTTGCTTCAAGCTTAACACTGTTGCTTGAACTTGGAATCACAGACTTGATTGAATTAATTGCTGTCGAAAAAAGATATCCTGTGGAATTAAGTCTCTTTTTGATTAAAGCCTCATTTCACTTATGTGCTGAAAATGCACTTTTTTGTTTGTTTAAAATACTACCTATAGTTTAATTATCAGCACTTGTATTTTACGACTTGATTTTATACCTAGGATTGGGAATTGGGGACTTAATATGTAGTATAAAATCAGTATATGTAAATTTTGCTTATTGATATGATGCTGTGATATGAGGGAATCTGAAATGTTTTATAAAATAAAGCTTACATTTTTTCTTAACACTGGATAAAATTGATTGATACTGCAATATTATATCTATTTCTCTCCTTTAATTAGGATTTAATATTCTTCTGTCCCTGTTAACAGAATATTCTTTGAAGAACCAAGGCTGTTTTTCCGTTGTTTTTTGGTATGGGGAGGATAAGTAGGAAGCTGTTAGCTAATTTAACTAAGTGTTCTGCTTACTGTCAGAATTGTGAATAAATCAGGCATCTCAATATTTTAGGATTCCCTTGAATGGGAAATTTCAGATGTACACAACGTGAATTTACACTAAACTGAATTTGGAGCCCTGGTGGTATAGTGGTTAAGATCTCGGCTGCTAACCAAAACGTTGGCGGTTCGAATCCACCAGCTGCTCCTTGGAAACCCTATGGGGCAGTTCTGCTCTATCCTATAGGGTCACTATGAGTCGGAATCGACTCAGTGGCAGTGGGTTTGGTTTTTTGGTTTGGTACTTACCTAAATGAAAAAAATACAATGTAAGCCACAAGACCTAGGAACTAAATGACAAAATTCTGTTTTTGTTTTTGTTTTTTTTTTTTAAATAAAGTAATAGATATTGAGGGTACTATCACATATAATTGATTTAAATGTATTTATTGAATGCTTATGTCTAATTTTTTTGGTGAATCTAATGGGTTGGGGTACAAAATAAATTTAGACATGCTTTTTCCTAAGATGCTTAAAATTTGGAAAAATCAACAAATATAAATTATAAATATAAAAACATATGCTAAACAGTGTGTTGCAGTTTAAGTACAGTAGGAAAACGGAAGACAGCAGTTAATTTTGAGGAGTTGGGAAAGTTCTCATGGGATTGTTGGCATTGGAGCTAGTCCTTGAAGAATGAGCAAGATTTAGATCTGCAAAGAAAAAGTAAGAGCATGACATGAGCAAAGACACACAAGTGGGAACGTGGCATTTATGAAGTGACCTGCTTGAGCAGATTGCAGAGTGTAAATTGCACAGCTTTGTGAAATAATGCTTGTGTAGAGGGGCGAACCCTATTGTGAAGAGGTTTGAAAGTCGATCATCAGGGTTTAGACTTGTATTAGCTATTGCAGAGCTGCTGCGGGTTTTTTAGTTTTTTAATTAGAGGAAAGAAAAATTACAAAAGTAATACATACTTATTAAGAAAGCTTCAGTCCGTTCAGAAAGGAACAAGGTCAAAGTCCTCATCCCCACCCAACCGCTACAACGATCCCACTCACCAAGGTAACCACTGGTAAGAGTTCCTTGTATATTTTTTTTTTCCTGGAAATTGGATCATACCATAGGCTTGCTATGAGTCAGAATCGACTCAACGGCAGTGGGTATACATACTGTTCTGCATCTTGATTCTTTTCACTTAACAATTCAGCATATTTAAGATATCTTTTCACATCAATACCTATAGCAGTACCTCACTGGATTTTTTTCTGTGATAGAATAATAATAACATTGAATGAACACATCATACTTTTGCATTTCCCAGTTGCTTTGCTGTTCCAGGTTTTTGTGATTACAAAAAAAATCCTACAAAAAAGTTTCCTGAATATATATCTTTGCTTACTTGTATGAATATATATATCTATAGGACACATTTCTAAAAATTGCTCTGCCAAACTGTACATTTTAAATTTAGATAAACATTGCCAAATTGCTCACCAGGAAAGTTGTACCATTTTGCAGTCTCCCCAACAGTATAGGAGAAAGCCTATTTCCCTAAATGCTCGTATGCATTTATTTATTCATTCATTTTTTACTAATAGGATTATTCTGATTAGTAGTAAGATTTATTCATTCTTAACTAATCTTACCTGTTAAAAAACAGTATCTGGTTTTATTCGTAATTTTATGGGGTTGAGAATTTTTTTTCTATTAAACTACTTGTTTATGTCATTTGCTTACTTTTCTCAGATTTATATTATGATTTTTAGGAATTGATTGTATATTTAGGAAATCAACCATAATGTGGACTCTGTGTTATAGTTTTTTTTTTTCATTTATCATTTGTTTATTCATTTATTTATTTTTGTAGGAGCCCTGGTGGTGTAGTGGTTAAGAGCTACAGCTGCTAACCAAAAGGTCGGCAGTTTGAATCCACCACCTGCTCCTTGGAAACCCTATGAGGCAGTTCTACTCAGTACTATAGTGTCACTATGAGTCGGAATAGACTCAACAGCATTGGGTTTGAGTTTGGTTTGGTTAGTTGGTGAAGAATACTGAATATATCACAGACTGCTGGAAGAACAAACAAATCAGTTTTTGAAGAAATACAACTGGAATGCTCCTTAGAAGGGAGAATGGTGAAACTTTGGCTCACTTACTTTGGACACATCAAAAGGAAAGAGTAATCGCTAGAAAAGGGCATCATGGTTGGTAGAGGATCAGTGAAAAAGAGGGAAACCCTCAACTAGATGGATTGACACAATAGCCAAAGCAATGGACTCAAACATAGCAGTAATCATGAAGATGGCGCAGGACCAGGCAACATTTCGGTCTGTTATCCATAAGGTCGCTGGCTGTAAGTCAGAACTGACTCAATGACACCTAACAATAGCGGGTAGGGCTTGTCTCATTTTTCTACTGTTGCAGGATTTTTCTAAGTATTCTCACATGTTTATTATTCAAGTTGTATTTTGAATTATGACATTCTCTACCGTCTTCCAAAAGAGTTAGAATTTTTATTGAAATCATATTTGGTTTATAAGTTAATTTAGGGAGAATTAACATTTTTATAATTTTGAATTTTCCTACTCATTTATCAAATGTTCTTTTGTGTTTCAGTAGCATTGTAAAATTTCCCTCATTTAGGTTTTGTACATTTCTTGGTGAAATTATTCCTAGGTATTTTATCTGTTAATGCTATTGTGAATGAAAGCTTCACCTCTATTATGTTTTTTGATTATTTATTTGCAGGAAAATAACAGATTTTAATTACAAATATGGTAACAAGTGCCTTATTTAATTTTTTCAAAGTATTTTAATAGTTTTCTGGTTGTTTCTTTGGAATTTTCAAGTATACAGTCATATCACCTACCAATAAAGATAGTTGAACATCTGAAACTACGTTAATTTTTTGGCTTGACATAATGGGAATGCATTTCCTTTTTCTCCTTGAAGCATGATACTGGCTTTTGGTCATTATGTTAAGAGAGAGTTCATCTATTCCAGTTACTTAGAGTTGTGGTTAGGTCAGGAATACATGTTGAATTTTTATCAAATGACTCAGCATCTTCTGAACTAATCATGATTTTTCTCCTTTGTCATGTTAATTTGGTGAGCTTTCAAAATAGATTTCCTAACACTGAACCATATTTATACTCTATGATTTAATTCTATTTGGTTGTAATATATTGGTCCTTTGATACACTGCCTGATTCTAATAAATATTTCATTAGGATTTTTGCACTGGAATTTATTAGCAATATTGGTCTGTATTTTGTGTGTTATTTTTGTCATGCTTTTGTATCAGTTTTGGCTAATTTTATGAGAAGAATTTAGAAGTTTTATTTATTAGTTTACATTTTGTAAAAACTTATCCAAATCAATTTATTATGTATACCCCTTAAAATTCATAAGCAAACTCGTATGAAGGTGGGTGTCAAGCATAATAATGGTGATGAAATGATAATACACATCCCCATTTCTCTTGATTCTTTAACGAGAATGGAAAAATCATACAATGTGATACAGATGACATATCACTTCAAATCTTATTTGCCCACTCTAGGCTTATGGGTCAGTTTAAGCCTTTCCAAAAAAGAGGTAAGTAGGCATTCTATTGAGCTCATCCGCATTTCAAACTTTATCAGAGTTATTCCATTTCATGTATTATATATGTATAATGGGATTATACACATATAATCTTATACATCCCATTACATATACACACACACATATATATAAAATATACAGAATGTATATTATATCGTGTATATAAAACGATATATACATTGTGTATAAATTGAGTAAAATGTGTATGTTTTATACACGGGCATATATTTGCATTTCAGTTTTTTCCCATCAGTCAGCTTCTCTAGAGCAGTATTGGGAGTAACAGACAATTGATAAATGCTTATTAAATGAATACTATGAAATGTATTACTTTAATTAATGACAGTTCTCTTTTATTAAGTGTACTTTACATGCATTACCTCATTTAATCCTCACAATAACCCTGGAAAATAGGTATTGTTATGCTCATTTTAAAGATAAAAAGAATCAGATTGTTAGTCGTCCAAGGTGTCTTACAGCTAAGAGGCAGAGCCAGTATTCAAGACCAGGTCTGTGAAACTCCAAAAGCCCATGCATGCTGTTTCTACTCCATCTTTAACTATACCACGATTTTATATCCAGAATCATTTCAAGTTAGTGGTTCTAAGTGTAAATTTATGGAAGATAAAAAGTTTCTTGACAGTCTCAATCAGTAAGAAGTAGATTTGTCATGAAAAACATCCAAACATGACAAACAATGTGTGCACTTTCATTTGCAAGACCATGTATCAATGATCACTATGTTCCAAGCATTGTGGTAAAGGTGCTTATCACAGTGCTTGGAACACAGTAATTGTTATTTTATTTAATCCTTACATCAATCCTATGAAGGAGTTGAGGTTCTTTGAAGTTAAATAAATTGCAAGTTATCCAACTTGCAAAGGGTCCCACAAGCAAGTGACCTGGGTTGGCTTTGAACTCAGAGAGCCTTTTCCTGGAGCTCTTAGCCACTGAGTTACATTATTGATGTTGACAATTAGTATAGATTGCAATTTATTTCAAAGGCTTATCTACCCACAATTTTATTGTTTTTAGGTGCTGTCGAGTCGGTTCTGACTCATAGCGACCCTATGAACAACAAAACGAAACACTGCCTGGTCCCGTGCCATACTTACAATCGTTGTAATGCTTGAGCCCATTGTTGCAGCCACTGTATCAATCCGTCTAGTTGAGGGTCTTATTCTTTTTTTGCTGCCCCTTTACCAAGCATGATGTCCTTCTCCAGGGACTGGTCCCTCCCGATAACATGTCCAAAGTACGTGAGATGAAGTTTTGCCATTCTTGCTTCCAAGGAGCATCCTGGCTGTACTTCTCCCAGGACAGATTTGTTCGTTCTTCTGGCAGTCCATGGTGTATTCAGTATTCTTCTCCAGCACCATAATTTAAAGGCATCAATTATTCTTTGGTCTTTCTTATTAGTTGTCCAGCTTTTGCATGCATATGAGGTGATTGAAAATACCATGGCTTGGGTCAGGTGCACCTTCGTCCTCAAAGTGACATCTTTCCTTTTGAACACTTTAAAGAGGTCTTTTGCAGCAGATTTGCCCAATGCAATGGTCCTTTGATTTCTTGACCACTTTTCCACGGGCACTGATTGTGGATCCGGGTAAAATGAAGTCCCTAACATTCTCAATATTTTATCCATTTATCACAATGTTGCTTATTGGTCCAGTTGTGAGGATTTTTATTTTCTTCATGTTGAGATGCAATCCATACTGAAGGCTGTAATCTTTGATCTTCATCAGTAAGTCCTTCAAGTCCTCTTCACTTTCAGCAAGCAAGGTTGTGTCATCTGCATATGGAAGGTTGTTAATGAGTCTGCCTCCAATCCTGATGCTGCATTCTTCTTCTTATAGTCCAGCTTCTCAGATTATTTGCTCAGCATACAGATTGAATAAGTATGGTGAAAGGATACAACCCTGACTCACACCTTTCCTGACTTTAAACCACACAGTATCCCCTTGGTCTGTTCGAACGACTGCCTCTTGGTCTATGTACAGGTTCCTCATGAGCACAGCTAAGTGTCCTGGAATTCCCATTCTTCACAATGTTATCTCCATAATTTGTTATGATCCACACAGTCAAATGCCTTTGCATAGTCAATAAAACACAGGTAAACATCTTTCTGATATTCTCAGCTTTCAGCCATGATCCACCTGACATCAGCAATGAGATTTCTTGTTCTACATCCTCTTCTGAATCTGGCTTGAATTTTTGGCAGTTCCCTGTCAATGTACTGCTGCAAATGCTTTTGAATGATTTTCAGCATAATATTACTTGTGTGTAATATTAATGCTACTGTTCAATAATTTCGGCATTCTGTTGGATCACCTTTCTTTGGAATGGACACAAATATGGATCTCTTCCAGTCAGTTGGCCAGGCAGCTGTCCTCCAAATTTCTTGGCATAGATGTCCAGCCCCGCATCCATTTGTTGAAACATCTCAGTTGGTATTCCATCAATTCCTAAAGCCTTGTTTTTCGCCAATGCCTTCACTGACCTTGGATTTCTTCCTTCAGTACATTGATTGTTGATCATATGCTACCTCCTGAAATGGTTGAACGTCAACCAATTCTTTTTGGTACAGTGACTCTGTGTATTTCTTCCATCTTCTTTTAATGCTTCCTGCATAGTTCAACATTTTTTCTGTAGAATCCTTCAATATTGCAACTTGAAGCGTAAGTTTTTTCTTCAGTTCTTTCAGCTTGAGAAATGCCGGGCATGTTCTACTTTGGTTTTCTATCTCCAGGTCTTTCCACATTTCTTTATAATACTTTGTCTTCTCAAACTACCCTTTGAAATTTTCTATTCAGCTCTTTTACTTCATCATTTCTTCTATTTGCTCTAGCTACTTAGCATTAAAAAGCAAGTTTCAGAGTCTCTTCTGACATCCATTTTCGTCTTTTCTTTCTTTCCTGTCTTTTTAATGACCTCTTGCCTTCTTCATGTATGATGTCTTTCCACAGCTCATCTGGCCTTTGGTCATTAGTGTTCAATGCATCAAATCTATTCCTGAGATGGTCTCTAAATTCAGGTGGAATATAGTCAAGGTTGTACTTTGGCTCTTGTGGATTTGTTCTAATTTCCTTCAGCTTCACCTTGCATTTACATATGAGCGATTCATGATTTGCTCCGCAGTAGGCCCCTGGCCTTGTTCTGACTGATGATACTGAGCTTTTCCATCATCTCTTTCCACAAATGTAGTCAATTTGATTCCTGTATGTTCCATCTGGGGAGGTCCATGTGTATGGTCACTGTTTATGTAGATGA